AGATATTGTTACTATCACCATTCATAGAGGAGGAAACTGAGGCATATAGAGGTTTAAGGACTTGACCCAGGTTACACAGCTAGCAGGGGGAGGAGCCAAGACAGTCCTTCCACCCTCAGTTCCTATTCCATGCTGCCTCATCATTAACTCTTAGAATGGGTTACCGGAGATCCCCTGTCACAAAGAAAGTCAAATACTGACATTGGTTAGTAAATTTCATATGAGGGAGACATTGAGGAGCAGAGTAACCTTGGACTCAAAAGAAAGAAGTCAGGGGTGGTGATTCCCTCAAGGTTTCAGCTAGGAGAAGAGTTAAACGAGGGGAAGGATTAGTCCAGCCCACCAGGCAGATGGTGTTCCCCCAAGATGTCAGTTCCATTCCTTATTCTGGTCCAGGCCTGTGTGCTACTGGAAGGTCAAGCCAGCCTCTGAACCTTTGTTCCTTTATCTGTACAATGAAGCAATGGTTTAAGGCTTTTTCTTTTATTCTTTTGAGATGGGGTGTCACTCTGTCACCCAGGCCGGAGTACAGTGGCGCGATCCCGGCTCACTGCAGCCTCCGCCTTCCAGGTTCAAGCGATTCTCTTGCCTCAGTCTCCCGAGTAGCTGGGATTACAGGTGTCTGCCACCACGCCTGGCTAACTTTTATATTTTTAGTAGAGACAGGGTTTCACCATATTGGCCAGGCTGGTCTTGAACTCTTGACCTCAGGTGATCTGCCAGCCTCGGCCTCCCAAAGTGCTGGGATTACAGGTGTGAGCCACCGCACCCAGCCCCTAAGGGTTTTTTAATTCTGACATTCTAAAGACTAAGGACCAGTGGCATAAAGAATGGTTACGGGGAAAGGAGAAAGGAAGAATGAACCCTTCTTGGAGAAGGTGACTTTTGAATTGTCATTTGAAGCTGATTCTGTGAGCCAAGAAAATGTTTAAATGCCTAATTTCCAAGCTGCCGTTTATTTTCTTTTCTTTTTTTTTTTTTTTTTGAGACGGAGTCTCGCTCTGTCGCCCAGGCTTGAGTGCAGTGGCCGGATCTCAGCTCACTGCAAGCTCCGCCTCCCGGGTTTACACCATTCTCCTGCCTCAGCCTCCCGAGTGGCTGGGACTACAGATGCCTGCCACCTCGCCCGGCTAGTTTTTTTTGTATTTTTTAGTAGAGACGGGGTTTCACCGGGTTAGCCAGGATGGTCTCGATCTCCTGACCTCATGATCTGCCCGTCTCAGTCTCCCAAAGTGGTGGGATTACAGGCTTGAGCCACTGCCCCCAGCCTGCTGTTTATTTTCTAGTGTATCTTGGTGGCTTGTGTGTTCACGTAGATGAGCTACATCCAGAATAAGAGTGGTAAAGAACATGGGTTTTGGGCCAGGCACGGTGGCTCACGCCTGTAATCCCAGCACTTTGGGAGAGCGAGGCGAGTGGATCACGAGGTCAGGAGTTTAAGACCAGCCTGGTCAACATAGTGAAACCCCATCTCTACTAAAAAAACAAAAAATTAGCCAGGCGTGGTGGCAGGCACCTGTAATTCCAGCTACTTGGGAGGTTGAGGCAGGAGAATTGTTTGAACCTGGGAGGTGGAGGTTGCAGTGAGCATAGATTGTGCCGTTACACTCCAGCCTGGGCAATGGAGCAAAATTCTGTCTCAGGAAAAAAAACAGAACATGGGTTTTGGATATGGATGCACTTCGGTTTGAGTGCTGATTCCAATTTCCTGGCTATATGAAATCCTGTGTAAATTACTTAAACCAAACTTTTGCCGTGTCATCTATGAATTGGAGATAATAATATTTACTTAGTGTTGTGAAGATTAATTGAAATAAACCCTGTAAATCATTTGGCACAGGGCTTGGCACACAGTTTTGTCCAGTGTAAGTTAGAAGTTGGTATTTTACAAGGAATTGAAGTAACTTCAGTGAAGGCTGTTTTTCCTCTCAGCATGATCATTCACTGTTACTTTAGGCCAATGAACACATTTTCATTGTCTGTGAATGAAACACAAAGAGGAAAAGTGTATATCCAGGAAATGTGGTCTGAGTTGATTATTTTCCTGTATTCCAATAGATGGCACACAAGACCACTTCTGTCACTCAATAAAAAAAGAACCAGTTACCTCCCTGGATTGAAGGTGAACTTTCTAAGCCTCTAAATACCGTTCGAAAGGCCCTAACAAATATACTTTTAATGAAAAGCATTGTCATTAAGCTCTAATATTACAAAGCAATTTCTATTAAATTCCAGCAAGATGGTATCTGCTCGGATGGAAGTGATCTAAGTTCCTGGTTTCCATTTGCTCCTCTGCAAATCAGGAGATACCACTAAATGTGCAGATAATCATGACAGAAATATCACGGCGTGGCTAGAACATTGTGGGGAGATGTATTATGTAAGTGCTTTACAGAAGCACAGTATGCATTATTTAGAACATTGGCTGTAGAGGGGAGGGGTGGAAATAGCAGGGCTTCCTATTTGAGAAGAAAGGCTCCAGGAAAGTTGTCAAAGGGAGAATGCCATATCCCTTGGGTAGAATGGCCATGTGGGGAAGTGGGTGAACCCAGTTCTTGAGAAGGAAAGAAAACAAAGCTAGTGCAGCAGTTCCTCCGTATTTTATTGCATAGAGAAAAACAGGCATTAACTCTCTACTCTCTTCTGCTCCCACTTGCAGAGCAGGGAGGGTACGAGAAGGAACTGGCCTAAAAGGAGAACCAGAAAGGAGACATAGCTGATGCTCATCCTATTAATAGAATCATAAATCTTGCCATGCCAAAACATTATTCGACTCTATCTTTGGAAGCAAAACCTGGCATGTCCTAACCTTACCATGAGGATAGTATTAAAACCATGAAAGGCCAATTTGCGGAACGCGGAGGACTCTCACGAATGGAAAGGGCATTGTTTGGAAAAGTGCTGATGTAGTGTTACCCTGTTTCATGGTCTCAAAATATCCCACGAAAACAGGCCTGTCTTCTCAAGGCCTCCTGTGGGTCACAGGCTGCTGCTGCCTCATCACGCATTTGTACTCATCAGTTACAACCAGAACCAGTCCAATGTGAAGTAGAAGCTGTTTAGAAAGGAAGCATGTTCCCTGACCAAATTGAGAGCTATATTTCTTAGCTAAACACGTGTTAGACTCTCATGAACTAGACCTTGTTTGAGGAAAGAGAGGAGCCTGCATGGGCCATCTTTAATGAGAAGTATAGGCCATCCATTCAGAATAGATAATATAATGCTCCCAGTTGCCAAGAAACTGTGAACTTGATTTTTGAAAAATTCTCCCACTTAAAACAAATTTGCTTTATTCATGTTAACATTTACGGGGTGTTTGCTTGTACTTGAGTATACTTTATAGAAGAGAGCAGCTACAGAGGGTCTATCTAATATAAACATAAATAGTTTTTAAAAATCCTTATTGAAGTATAATTGATATAAAATAAACTGCCCCAATTTAAAGTGTACAATTTGATAGGTTTTGCCAGATGGATATTTATACCTGTGAACCCATCACCACATTCAAGATAATGAACATGTTAGATTTAGTTTCAAGTGACTATTATAATTTGTGGACTTACAAATCATATAAGTATCAAGGCATTGTGTATCAAGGCATATGTGCCATTTTAAATATTTAATCTATTCATCTTAAAAAGCCAATTATGACAATACCAACTGATTTAGAAATCTGGGGAGGGTAAAACAAAGAAACCCCAAACTCCTGACCACTAAAAAACCATGTTGTATGCTAAGGCAGTCAAGCCAATTCCCAGAGAGGTCTTGCTTATTTTTCTAACATCATACACTTGCACCTTAATGAATGTACTGGGAATATGTCTTAATCCAATGATGAAACACAGTAAAGGGCTGCAGAGAAATCCTGTAACTTGGGCTGAATTTAATTTGCAATCAGCCTGGCCTCTCCTTTAACCCCTTCTCGGCTATGTTTCCTGCCCTTAATTATATCTCTGGTTTCATCTTGGGAGGCAGAAATGAACCACCAAAGGGAAAAATAAAATTCTATGATGTCATTCGTAATGTGCTATATTAAAGTTGCAAAGCAAAAATGCACATGCTCACCATAAAATGCCAACTATTCAATTAAGTTCATCCAATGAAAAGAAAAATGTTGCCTAAAGGTTTCACACCATCCAGAAAGCTCTTTAGTTCCACCTACCAGAACGCCTGGCATCGCCTTCTCACTCAGCCATTCCATAGTGCAGACACTGCCTGCTTTGGTACTTTTTAAAAGGCTTTAACAACTTTGCTAAATGAGAGTCAATTTGAAAAAGTTAAGCATTTCAAATTTTAGTAAGCATCATGGGGGAAGATTTTACATTTTTTGTCAACTTGAAAACATTGCTGGCAAAACATGAACTTCCATTTGGCATAAAGATTTATCAAGGTAAAGAAAATACGATTTAGGCTGCCATGAAATCTTTAAAATATCAGGTATATATGTGTATGCATATGTGTCTATATGTATGTGTTTTTAGGAGGAATTTAGTAGGGTATAATGGAGAGGCAAAAAATTTGCCATATTAGTCTCATTTGATATTAAAATAATAGACCCATAAGTTCCATTTTTCCTTTTAGTTAAAAAAAGCTTTTCATAGACAAATGTAGATTGATAACCTGTCATGATTCTAAACCACTGTACAACGTACGTAGAAGAAAAAAAGAATATGATATGTATTTTGTTAAATGGGAGAGGAATCAGTGAAGACATAGTTGAGTAGAAAGACAACTTTATGGATCGAGATCAGGAAAAGAACCACATTTACTGATATAAAATAAAATGCAAAATCACGTACCTCTAATATCTGGTCACCAGCCCAAAGTCTTCCATCTCTGGCTGCTGCCCCTTCTTCATAGACTTCATGGATAACTATAGCATTCTATAAAAAACAAAATCTTACTCATTTTCAACAACCAGAAATGCTTCCTTAAGCAAACAACCAATAGGCCACAACCCATAATTTTCTATTTGTTAATAATGTTATATTTTATGACATAAAGATAAACAATATGCACAGTTATGATACATTCAGAGGTATAATTAAATTTTCCTAAGATTATTTCATTCCTTTAAAACTGGCTTTGCCTAATATTTCATGTTAAACTTCTTCCATGTGTTTTACTGTTAACCCTGTACACTGCTGCTGTGTATGAACTAGAGGTGAACTATGTGTCATTCTTATTTACATTTTATAGTGTATTTTGAGACACGGTTTCAGGTATTTATTGGTATTCAAGGATTTGGCATAGATGTGTGGCCTGATGAAGGGGGTTTTGCCAGGCCTTATTACTTGGGCAATGAAAGAAAAGAACTTAGTGGAATGAATGGGTCCTGGAGGAGAAGAAAACAGGAGTAGAGGAAAGAGCATTCATGGACCTAAGTGTAAAACAGCCGTGGGTTCAAATCCTGACTCTGCCTTCTTGTAATCTTGGGCAATGAATTCCTCTGAATTCAGCAATCAGAGCCATAAAATTAGGACAACCATATCTGCTGTAGGTAAGCTTCGGTTGGGAAAAGTGTTTCATAGTTAATGAATTAAAAAATAATCTGTATCTCTTCAGATTCATAACCTTAAAAATTATTTTATCATCATAAAAATGACATGTACCCACGTAGAGGATTCAAGCAATACTACTACAGGTTGTTGCAAAGCACAAAAATAGGCTGCTTCCCACCCAGATTCAGTCCCACCAATCACCACTCATAATTTCCGAGGATCTCTCTAGACAATTCACATTTATGCACCCAAATATTTATATATTTTGATGAGAGACTATTCTAAAAATGTAGGATTATCAAATTGAGTTTGTCCACACTCCTTTTCCCTCATCCCCTCCTGTTGAGCAAGTAGTCAAGCTTTGAAATTCTTCACCTTGGGGATTTTTGTGGAGCTCAAAACTGAAGCAACCAGAAGTCATTGGCTCTTTCTGTTTTTCACAGAACCGAAGAGCACTGAATGGATTATGATAGGTGTCTTGGAGGGCTGCTGAGAGAGGCGCACAGCTTTTGAGTGGAGATTAGAAACAGAGGTCTGTGGGTTCCACTGTGGGGATTTGGGTCCTGCAGTGCCCAGGGTCCTCCTATTCCTTGTCCCCAGTGCACACACACACAGGTTTTAAGATCCTGCTGGCAATGGTCAAGGGCTGACATCCTTGACACCTGTCAGAGCCTAGAGGCTGACACATATAGGACCCCGGGCATGAAAGAAGTCAAGGAGCAGGACTTCTGGACTTGAGAGATCTTATAGGCTTGGCCAAGGATAGGCTTGATGATGAGCAGGCAGTGCTGATGGCAATGACCATAGGGGTGTCATCAATGTCTGGGTGTTTGGTTGGTATCCTTTGGAGTTAATGAGCCATCAAAATGGTTGAGGTTGAATTTCACCTTAGTCCAGAAGTATGGAGCCTCAGAATTAAGTTCATATGAAGTAAAGAAATGAATATTTATTGCAAAAATGTGACAAGATAGACAAAATACATACACCCACACCAAACCTTTTTTGTTTGCTTTTTAATTAAAAAAATTTTTTTTGAGATAGCATCTCACTTTGTTGCCCAAACTAGAGTGCAGTGGCTCAATCACAGCTCACTGCAGCCTTGATCTCCTGGGCTCAGGTGATCTTCCTGCTTCAGCCTCCCAAGTAGCTGGGACTATACGTGTGCACAACCATGGCTGGCCAGTTTTTTTTTTTTTAAAGTAGAGATGGGGGTCTCACTATGTTGTCCGTGCTGGTCTCCACCTCCTGGGCTCAAGCAATCCCTCCTGCCTTGGCCTTCCAAAGTGCTGGAATTACAGGTATGAGCCGCTGTGCCCAGCCATATATATGTGTGTGTGTGTGTGTGTGTATATATGTGTGTGTGTGTGTGTGTATATGTGTATATATATATATATATTTTTTTTTTTTTAAGAGGAGTCTTACTGTGTTGCCCAGAACTCCTGGGCTCAAACGATCCTCCTGCCTCATCCTGGGAGCTGGGACTACAGGCATGTCCCATAGCACCAGGCTTACTTTCTATTAAAAACAAAATAACAACAACAGAAAAACAAAAAAAGGGTTTCTATACAAATTCCACAATAGAGAAGCAACAAAAGAAAACAAGAGGTCTATAACTAGATAATCCATCTGGATTCCAAATACTTTTACAATACTAAATACCGTACTTTCATTTTATTGTTACACAGTTCTGAAAACATTCTTTATTATAGCAATTAGAGAGGCAGCCCCCAAGAGCCAGGAAAAGTTTCTGGATCTAGGCACTTTACATTTCAGATTCCGTACCAGGAATACATTTTAGACCATTCTTTGTTTTAACTCTGACTTATGAAATTTCCAGACCCAGGGAGCGTTTACACTGCCAAGAGTTTGTATCTCTGAACTGTTTCAGGGGAATTATTTGGAGGAAACTTGCGGAGTCAGTGGCTTGTGGTGATCCAGCGATACTAATGAGATCCTACCAAAGGTCATTTGTATTAAGGTAGTACGAGGAGAAACTAATGCAGACTCCTGGTAGCACCCTGTAATGATACTAGTTTTCAAAGTCTGGTGCCCAATACCCTATTTTCACTGGATTGAGAAAGTCACACACTACACTCGGACTATGCATGGCTTTTACAGAACTTGATTTTCAGCAAAAAGTCCTTTGATCTTGGAACATTACAAAAGACAAACAGAAAATTTCTGTCCATTCATACTCAAAAGAAAGAAAAGACCCCCTTGGAGTTTGTATTCCATAAAAGTGGTCTGAATTCAAAATCCTTAGATACTTTCTGGTGCTCAATGAACTGTCCTCCATAAAGGATGCCAATGACCATAAAGGAGTAATATGTTAACAGTTTCAAATGCCGAACTCACTGCAAATGATCTATTTTTAGTCCACAAGTCTTTCTGTATTTAAAATTCTCCATTTATTTATTTATTTTTGCTTGACTGCTACTGTAATTCCTCTCAAAGTTATTAGTGAAGGCTGGGCATAGTGGCTCACGCCTATAATCCCAGCAGTTTGGGAGGTGGAGTTGGGTGGATCACTTGAGGTGGGTGGATCACCTGAGGTCAGGAGTTCGAGACCAGCCTGGCCAACATGGTGAAATCCCGTGTTTACTAAAAATACAAAAATTTTCCGGGCATTGTGGCACATTCCTGTAATCCCAGTTACTCGGGAGTATGACAGGAGAATCACTTGAACCCGGGAGGCCGAGGCTGCAGTGAGCTGAGATCATACCATATTCCAGCCTGGGCAAGACAGAGTGAGGCTCCGC